TTACAAAAAAAAACAAACTCACTGCTGTCGAGATGATCCGACTCACAGCGACCCCCTCCTTGGGTTTCCGAGGAGGTATCACTATGGAAGTAGATTGCCCAATATTCCTTCTGAGGAGTGGCTGGTGGGTTTGAACCACCAGCCTTCTGGTTAGCAGTCAAGTGCCTTAGGCACTACGCCACCGGGGCTCCCAAACCAAATGCCTCATGGGACTGGATTTCTGAGTTTCAAGGACTAGGCCCAAAGTCTCATGGGACATCTCAGTCAATTGCCATACATAGTTCATGAAGTTAATTTCTACATCCTAGTTTGGCAAGTAGTGTCTAGGATCTTAAAAGCTTGTGACCAGCCATCTAAGATACAAGTATTGGTCTGCACTCATCCAGAGCAAAAGAGAAAGAAGGATACCCAAGACTCAAAGAAGAAACTAGCCTACAGGACAAAGGGTCTACGTGAACCACGGCCTCACCTACCCCGAGACCAGAAGAACTAGATGGTATCTGGCTACCAATACCAACTGTTCTAATCAGGGCCACAATAGATGACCCTGAAAGAATGAGAGAAAGATGTGGAATCTCAATGACCCTGAAAGAATGAGAAAAAGATGTGGAATCTCAAATTCCTAAAAAAACAAAACAAAACAAAACAACAACAACAAAAAAAACCCGACCTACTGGCCTGGCTGACACTGGAGGATGACCAGAGTGTTGCTCTCACATACACTTCAGACCCTGAACTGAGACTAACCCAAAGTCAGGTTACAGCTAAATAACAAACGTTGCTGTTGCTGCTGGTGCCAATGAGTTGTGTCATACCACAGAGCCAAACACTGCCTGGTCCTGTGCCATCCGCACAATCCTTGCTACGCTTGAGCCCGTCGTTAACAACAGACAGACTCAAGAAATAATGACTACCACCCATAAGTGCTGTGCCCCTTAAAATCTCACCCATATGAGACCAAATGGTCAATAATAACTTTAAAACCAAGATGAGAATGTAAGGAGGCTGGGAAACTAGATTAATGGAAACTGAAAAACCAGAACAGAAATAATGAGAATGTTCACGCGCTGTGAAGAGTATAACCAATGCCCCTGGACAACATGTGTACAGTTGTCGACCTTAACCTGCCATGCAAAAGACAGTAAAATTTAAAAGCATAAATACAAAGGCAGGGAAAAGAGCATGTGGTCTCAATATTCCTAGGAAGGGGGTGGGGCAGGATCACTGCTAAGATCCATTTAGGAAGGTTATTTAATGTCTGCACTACAGCCTTAGAGGTTACCCATGCCAGGCCTATGCATAGAGGCTCAGTGAGGCCAGACCAAGATCCTGGGAGGTGGGGTCCTTTGCCTCTCTAAGAGTCCAGACACGAATGTGGAGGCCTGGCCTGTTCATCACAACCTTGGCAGCCAGCACCACCCACACACTCTCTCTCTGTCTCTGTCTCTCACTCTCTCACTCACTCACAAACTCGCACTGTCTGATTTCACCCACATCATCTCACGCCACCAGGAGACCTACACTGGGCAGCGATTCTCCAGTCACCACATCTCTGCTGGCTCTTTTCTCTCTGCCCATCACAGTTCAAAGGGTCGGCAGCCAGAGCAGGTTCGAGAGGGCCTGCTGGGCACTGCCTCCCCTGTGGCTTGTCCAGCACCCCCCAGCCTTCACTGTCTCCGTAACTCTTCTGCTTCCCTCATGGGCACCTCTTCCTTCACCACCTCCTTAGCTGTGCTGTTGGCCAGAGCCCTGCCCATGGTCCCTCCCCCACCCACAGTCACACGGGGAGCCCACACACTCCCATGGCGTTCACCAGCCTCCACAGGCAAAGCCCAGACCACCCTTCTGAGCGCCACATCTAATCTCCACTGTCTCCCAGACAGCGCCACCTAGAGCTCCGGTGTCTGCAAGCACAGCCAGCGCCCTCCTGTGCACCCCTCCTGCTACAGCACCCAGGGGGCAACAGAGTGCGACAGGGACAAGCCCGCACTCTGAGGTCAAAATGCTGGCAAGTGGAACCCCAGCTCTGCCAAGTGCTAGTTACGTGGCCTCGGATATGTTATTTAAATTCAGTGAGCCTCTGCCCCCTCGAATGTAAAACAGCAGCAACAGGACCTACCTCACCGAGCTGTAAGGACAAAATAAAGTAACGTACACTGCAAAGCCCCAAGCTCTTCCTCACTGTTGTCACTCCTGTGGCGCTGCTATCCACAGCTGTCACCCCTTTCCATGCCTCCTCCTCTCCCACAGCCAATCCTCATCACCAAGTCACAATGATCTTACCTCCAAGTTTTGCCATCCTTCACTGGCTGCACACCAGTCTCCCTGCCTCCAGTCTCGCCCCTCTAATCCACCCACACCACCACCACCGTGACTCCCCAAAACACCAACACTGCTTGCTTTAGTCCCTTTATCACCCTTACACGACAGAGGTTCAATATACCGGTGTATCTTCATTTGCATGTATTTTCAATTTCCCATTAGTTTAAAAACAGCTTCCAATGGCTCCCTCAGGCCTATCAAATTTTGAAAAACAGTTCCAAGACTGGACACAAAATTAACTTATTCAAGACATAACTATAACCACACAGCAGCCAATATGGCTCTTGCATTCCCCAGAAAAATAAACCAAACTCACTGTCATTGAGTCGATTCTGACTCATAGCGACCCCTCCTTGGGTTTCCCAGGCGGCATCTCTACGGAAGTAGATTGCCCCATCTTCCTCCTGAGGAGTGGCTGGTGGATTTGAACCGCCAGTTTTCTGGTTAGCAGTCAAATGCCTTAGGTACAACACCTCCAGAGCTCTTTGAATTCCCCAGAGGGCTCCTTTAATAAATGCCTACAGCATTTCAGGACAGCAAAGTGACTACTTAACAATAACTCAGTGAGATACCCAGGCACCCACGATCACTGAGCCCAACCACAGAGAGCCTGGTCCATGGAGGGGGATAACCCGGCCCATTTACTGGGGCTGCACATCACCAGGAAGAGACTCTGTTCTCTAAGGAGCCCTTCAGGTTTCATTGGGAACTGAGGGGAACATGGCCCCCACCCTGAAATTTCCTCCCCTGCCCCTCTACCCCACATGCACCCCCCTTGCCCCAAACCAAGTCCTGTTGGGCAGTCGCTTCCTGAACCTGAGGGCGGGGGAACCTACCTGCAAGGGCCTGCTGAACCCTGCTGGGTTTTGGCATCTGCACGGGCACACTGGCAGGGATGCTCCCAGGACCGCTGGCAGGAGCGGTGGCAGGACCGCCAGGGAGGGAGGCACTGAGGGAAGAGAGAACAAAGCTTAATGTGCGGCACTGACTTAGCGGAACCCATACCTGGAGAACCAGGAACTAACTGGTGCTGCCCGGCCTCCTTCAAGTTTCACTTCCCACGGCTGTCACTTCATGAATGAGGGGTCAATCAAACAGGATCTAGAGCGAGGAGCAAGAAATCCTAATTCTACCACTCTCAGATGCAAATTAGCCCAGAGAATCTGAGCACTGAAACTGTCATTTCAATACAATGTATTAAAAAAAAGAAAAGAAGTGTCATCGTTTACAAGGAAGGCACCTACAAAAAGCTTGACACATCACACACTGGGCAGAAGTCAAATCTGAGGGTTGTTAATGGTGGCTAAGTAGCACAGGAAGCCAGGTTCGGGGACAGAGGGCAGCCAAGAAGACAGGGTGATCCTACAAGCTGTACCAGTGACAGGAAAGGACACTGCTAGGGGTGGAAATCCCACCTTTTTGCAGGTTCTCAAGAACAAAGCTTTAAGCTGTCAAAAATATCTTCCACACATGGGAGGTACAGACAACAAAGATAAAACACTTCAACACACGCAATACTGCATTATTAGTAATAACCAACAGCAACCTATGGGTTGGGTACATAAGTAGACAGGCTGAATGGTCAGGTACGTCTAGGCAAAAGGGAGTATACCCAAGACCATACGCAAGTTTGGGAGATGGTATTTTAATATACATATTTGTATGTACTATTAAGAATGTCCACAAATAGAGCTAACAAAGGGCAAAGTTATGATAACTTCTTAGCCACAGATAATCACCCTGAGGGAGCAAGTTGTTGACACCTTGGCTCAAGATCATTGTCATGGGGGACATCAAGCTCAAATGGCACAACACACTACACAAAAACATTGTTCTATATCCTACTTTAGTGTGTAACAACTGGGGTCTTAAAAGCTTGTAAGCAGCCATCTAGATTCAACATTGGGTCTCTTCTCATCCAGAGCAAATACGAGTGAAAAAACCAAAGGCGCACGGAAACAATTAGTCCAAGGGACTAGTGGACTTTGCGAACCTCAGCCTATGACCCTGAGACCAGAAGAACTAGATGGTGCCCGGCTACCACTGTCAACCACTTGGAAAGGGATCAGTGCAGAAGAGCCTGGATAGAGTGGGAGAAAAATGTGGGACAAAACTCAAAATCATAAAAAAAAAGACCAGGCTTACTGGTCTGATAGAGACTGGTGAAACCCCTTGTCAGTCTTTGGGCCTGGAATTGACCTCACTTCCATGGCTTCCAACCAAAAAACAGATAGATAGGTGTGTAAGTTGAACATTTACTCCAGGTAGCTACACTCCTTAGAACAATTAACCACGGGAGATCAGAAAGGCAGTATTTGCACAGAGAGATAGCTCAGAGAGCAGGAATACACAGGAAAGAAGACACAGGGAAAAGATAACCAAAGGGAAGAAGTGGGAAGAAGAGTTGTTTACATTACAGGGATTATAATCAACGTCATGACACAAAATGTATATGAACGGTTGTACAGAAAATGAATTTGCTTTGTAAACTTTCACCCAAATTACAATACAAATAAATTAGTATCTTCCAGAGCAATTCCAAGAGCCTCTGAAGACAGTCCTAAAATAAGAGCTCAGAATGTCTTGGGCGCACTAGCTTCGTCAAAAGGGGTTCCCAGGTATATAGTAGAGCTGACAAGGGACAAGGCTGTAGTCACTTCTTGGCTCCCAGAGGGAGCAAGTAGTTGGATCTGTGGGCTCCGAACCATAGCTGCAGGGGACATCAAGCTCAATTGGCATAACATACTACACAAAACATCCTTCCACCTCCTACTTTGGGGAGTAGCGACTGGGATCTTAAAAAAGTAAGCAGCCATCGAGATACAATGATGGGTATCTCCTCGTTCAGGGCAAAGAACAGAGAAAACCAAAGATTCATGGAAACAATTAGTCCAAGTGACTGGTACACTATGCAATCCTCAGCCTATATGACTATGAGAACAGAAGAACTAGGTGGTGCGCGGCTACCACAGTCAACCACTTGGAGGGGGACTATGTAGGAGACCCTAGATAGAATAACGCAGAACAAAACTCAAAATCATTTAAAAAGAAAAAAGGACCAGGTTTGGTGGTCAGAAAGAGCCTAGTGGAACCACTGAGACTATGGCCCCTAGCTGCCCTTCAGGTCTGGAATTGAACCCACTCCTGTGGCTTCCAGCCCAAGCAAAAGACTGGCATATGAGGTGAACATTTACATTAGGTAGATATACTCCTTGGAGAGATCAATCATGGGAGAAAAGGCTGTGCATAAACAGGGAGAGCGTGGGGGCAGGAGTATATGGGAGGGAAGGACACAGGCAAGAGGTTACTATGGGGAGGAAGTGGGAGGGGAACTGTTGCACTGTGGGAAACTGCAGTCAATGTTATGAGACAAAGTGTACGTGAGCTGCTGTATGGAGAGTGAATTTGCTCTGTAAACTTTCACCCAAATCACAATCAAAAAAAGAAAAACAAGGGCTTCAGCAGTAACTGATGGCAATTACAGTCAACTGCTGTCAAGTCAATGGGGACTCATGACGACCCGTGTGTCTGGGTAGAGCCGTGCTCCCTATAACTTTCCGTGGCTGAGGCTCCGGAAGTAGATGGCCAGAGCTTTCTTGTGACGTGCATCTAGGTGAACTGGAACCCCCAACCCTTGGGTTAGCAGCTGAGCTCGTTAACTCTTCATATAACCCAAGGACTCCCAATAGTCTGCCAATAGTCTAGTGATCAAGACCACCACCAATATGACAGACCCACACCTGGAACCCCACAAGAGGATGCAGTGAGAAGGGGTCACACGACGTTTGTGGCGTTCCTGTCAAAAATGCAACACCTTCACTTATGAGAAAACATTAGACATGCCCAGAGACAGTGGACGACGTTTTCAGAAGTGTCGAGGTTATGAACGACGATGAAAGGCTGAGGAAGCATCACAGATGAAGGACACTTGGGAGACATGAAAACTGGATGCAACGTGAAGTCCCACACAGACAGACAGAAACACTACTGGAGAAACCAGTCAACTTTTTCTTTTTAAGTCTCTGGTTAAGAGCGTTGAACCGTGTTCATTTTCTGACTCCAACTACTTAATACCTATGGTTATGAAAGATGTTGACATCAGAAGTCGGGTGAGGGACGTGGAAACTCTCTGTACTATTCCTGTAACTTTTCTGTAAGTCTAAAGTTGTTTCAAAATAAAGATTTGGTTTGGCCATTTGGCTGCTAACCAAAAAAAACGAAAGGTTCAAATCCACCAGCCTCCCCACTGGATTAAGTTGAGGCAATCTGTTTCCACAAAGATTAAAGCCTTGGAAACCTTATGGGGCAATTCTACTCTGTCCTACAGGGTCGCTATGCATCACAATCAACTTGATGGCAGAGAGTTTGTTTAAAAATAATTTAAAAATTAAAAAAATAAAGGTTTGGTTTTGTTTTTTAATGGTGTTGCCATGAGTCCCCATCAACTCAACAGCCAATGGCTGCAATTGTCATCAATTACTGCTAAAGCCATTGTTTTCACGAAGCTAGCACGCTCAAGACATGCTGAGTTCTTCTTTTAGGACTGTCTTCAGAAACTCTTGGAATTGCTCCAGGAGACACTTTACACAGCTTAAAGCTTTGTTCTTGATATTCTGTAAAAAGATGAGATCCCACTCCCAGCAATGTCCTTTCCTGTCGCTGTGGTAAACCTAGTTGGTTTCAAGATTCACTTGATGTTAAGTCATCTTTTTTTTTTTAAAATGGTAATAAAGCCATGCTATTATGGTTTAAGAGGGAGACCCACATTGGAGAACAGTTGGCGTAGATGACCAAGACCTCTGCCAACTCCTTGTCCTTCCAGTCCCTGTCCACATTAAAGACAATGTAACAAGGAAGATTACGAAACCCTTTCACACAGTCCCTGCACTGGCCCTCCCCAAGGACAGGGCCCGCCCCAGAGAACAAAGATCCCGCCACATTCCAGCAATGAAGGACGGCTCCAGCTGCAGCTCCCCTACAGCTGTCAGCCAACAACCACCACCCAGTTACAGCAAATGGCCTTGGAGCAGCCCTAGAAGGCAGCCATGGGTCACAGATCCCACTGGTAAAGAATCCAAGGAGCTAGTTGGTTCTGATCCAAAGCAAGAAACCTCACACCCACCGGGGGGGCTGAAGCTTCCAGGGCCTAGCACAGGGTTTGGAACAGAGCAGAGGTGTCAACATCTGAGCAACAAAATGAGGTTGCTTTGTCCCAATGCTTTGACTGTTCTCCCCAAACGGGATACCCTGTGTGGTCATGCTACTCAAAGAGCAGCTCTGGCCTCATCTACTCCCAACCCCCCCAGAGTGACAGACCTGGACCCAGAGCATGTTGATGATGCAACAGAAGGGCTTGGAGTGCCTGGGCTAAGGTCTTGGTTCCTACAGAAACTGTTTAACTTCAGGCAAGTGTCTCTTTCCTAAACCTGTTTCTCCTTTTTTGTAAAGGAAGGTGGATAATCTCTGGTGATCTATGAAGTTCTCAGCGTCCCCAAGTGAAGGAATCCAGAGATACCACCTCCCAGGCATCCTTTGCCTCTTCTCTTGGAGCCCAGCCCTCCTTCCTCTCCAGCCCAGGTCTTCCAAACCAACGCCACAAGGAGCCCGGAGCTGAACCCTGAGCTAGCTAGGAGGCTCTTGTCATTGGAAGCCAAAAAATCTAAGCTCGGCTGTACACCCCACAAAATGAATGGGCTACTCAGCAGGCTATATGCACTGGTCCCCACAGTGATGGGACCCTTGACTTCACCCCACAGAAAACCATCAGGAAGTAGGGTCTTCCTCCAACGGAAGAGATGCATATTTAAGAGAGGTGGCCTAGCTCCACCACCAAGTGTTGAATCAGGAAGCAGACATGCAGAAAGGCTTCCAAAGGGTATCTCACCCTAAAGCCCCAGGACCCAGTTCCTCTCCCATAAATTTCCTGCTGTAAGGAACAGTCAAAGGGATCCAGTAGTCTGAAAACGAGGACTCTCATAGCTGGACAGAACCTCAGGTCTGGTCCTGAACCATAACCCCTCCACCCTCAAATGTCTCAGAATGACAGACTATACCCCAATGTGGGGCACCTGTTGTCCCAAGTGCCCTTCTCTGGGAATTCTTCTCTAGTCACTGCCTCAGGTATACCCCTCTTCACAAACAACAAGCAAAACAAAACAGAACTCCTGAGCGTGCAGTCCCTGAGCGGTAGAAACAGTTAAGCAATCGGCTGCTAAGCAAAAGGTTGGAGGTTTGAGTCCGCCCCAGAGGCTCCTCAGAAGAAAGGCCTCGGCGATCCACTTCCAAAATCATCAGCCAATGAAGGGAGCCCTACGGCTGCCATGAGTCAGCATCGACCACACGACGGGTTTGTTTCTGCTGGTGCTGTTGTTCCTGGGCCTACCTACTAAGGGCCCAGCCAGTTTTCCCCTCGGAGACCACCTCAAGGAGCTTCCCGAGGGAGCTAGGACACGGGACAGGAGGACTTCTGGCCTTCAAGCTTTACGGCTCCAAGCGAGGGGCAATGCCCGGAGGCTGGAGAGGAAGAAAATCCAAAGCTGCTCTCCAGCGCCCCAAGATTGCCAATCTGACTGGCAAGCCAACACCAACCGAGGAATCTCTGACCACAGGATGCAGGACAATGAGCACCAGAGGTGGAGTTTAGGGACCCAGCTTCTGGTGCCAGCTTCCCCCTAAAGTGGTGGGGCCTGGGCCTATCAAGTCCCCTTTCTGGGCTTGACTTTCTCCAGCTGTAAGAGGAGGACAACACTACAAGGCTCCCAGGGGAGCTGTGAGACGCAATCTAAAACCCAAGAGAAATGTCTATTGTTGTCCAGGACCCAAAGGACCAGAGGGAGCTAAAGCAAAGCTCTCAGGGCCTCCCCAAATCCTGAAAACCACAACAGTTATCAGGGCAAAAGGAAAGTCAGAAACTGGCAAGTCCTGCTGGCTAATCTTGACAGAGGGAAATCGAAGCATGGAAAGAGTATAGAGCTAACCCAAGGGCCTACAGCGAGTCAGGAGCAAGCCCTTGCCTGGAACCAAGACTGCCCACAGCAGCTGGGTGCGGTGGGGGCTGGCCCACAGCAGGAGGGCATGGGGAGCTCACAGAGGCAGAAAGAAGAGCTGCAGAAAGCCAAACAGGGAAGCCATCTTCTCAGGCCACCCAGTGCAGGGGTAAAGGGCCCACAGGCTTGGCTTAACCACATCACTGAGCTGTCTATGCTGCTGGTCATAATTACTACCCCAAGTCACTGAAAACACTAAGCGAGGAGTCACACCCTCTATTTAAAGAGGGCAAGGCTATGCATGGCACATTTTGCAAAGTTTCTCATCAAACATGATTAAACACAAGTTTTGGTGCTTAAAGGGACAAACTTCACTTAGCAGGAAATTTACTTCAACCCAGACAGCTCAGTCACCAGCAACGTACCTCCCAGGGGCACATGGAAATCTGCCAGCCAACGTTCCCAGATTGTGCAAGAGGCAATTGAAAAATCACATGGGTTCCACAAAGTTCCACTCTACCCACACAAATGGTATCTCCCACAGCTACCAGTCAAGACAGGCTTCCCCAATCATGGCTCTGTCTTCAGACCTGCCACCACATACACCTGGTAACTTTCACCTCATCCTACTGACATTCTCTTCACCACAGCCCTTTGGGAGAACAGGAGCCAAGTTTCTTCAGTTCTTAGCAGGTCCCTTCTGGCTCCACAACTCCCATCAGGGAAGGGTTAAGTGAGGAGGCCCATACTATAAATTAGGTGTGTGTAACCCACTTTCCAAAACACGAATAGGCCTGTGCTAGTGAACGATTCCATGCCCAATCCTGAAGAGCTGGAGGAAGTAAAGATGTTTGCCTACCCCAGGAGGCAGGTCCCTTGGAGGCTGTTTCAACCAACAGAGCCCGCTGGCCCAGTTCCCTACTGGTTTACGGGGCTGGGCAAGCTGCAACATGCCCGTCACAGCACAGAAGGTGAAGGTAAGGCTGTCTGGCCCAGACCTTCCTTCCTGGAACTTGCCTGGCCTGCACCAGGAGGGCTGCATCAGCAGTCTGGAATGACCCTCAGGCCAGGGGAGGGGAGAGCCCAAAGAAAAACAGGGTGGGGGAGGTCTTCACAGGAAACCAGCCAGGGAACCGCTAAACACCTGGCTCAATTCTAGAATCTAGAACTCTCTAGGACTATTTAGAAATGTGCCTCAAGATCATTTGTGAGAACTCAAGCAGCCCCAGGAGACTTGGTGCAGCAGATGTAGTAGGAGGCCCAGCACTGCTGATGATCCCTGTGGGCAGACAGCTCTAGCACTTTGCTCTAAGTGACTGCCCCACGTTCTGACGGTGAGAGACGTGGGGAGAACCTCACTGAGCCCAGGAAGGGGCTGGGGTATGGCAGCGTCCTGCTTATGTTTACGGAAAAGTCCACAGACAGGCCCAAACGAAATCTCCCCATACTCCCAATTCCCAGGAAGATCTCAGATCCACAAGCCCGACTCCCAGGAGCAGCTTCCCAGGAAACCTTGGCCAATTCAAGCTTCTTACCCCCATGTCCACAGGACTCCTCACTCCTCTGTCAAGACACCTCCAGCCTCCCTCATCCCCTACCTTTGAGGAACCTTCAAGAACCCCCAATGTGTTCCTTTGGGGCCCAGGGTTTAGGCCAGTTTGGACACTTGCTAGTTGAGGTGCCAGCTTCATGGGCCTCAACAGGCTCGTCTGTAAGCTGAGGATACCACCGTCCTTAAGGCCATCAGCAGGCTGACTGGGATCACTCAATAACTGCACAAAGGGCCTGGCACATAACGTGTGCTCGACAAATGGGAGTTGCTGTCACCGTATCTTGCTGCAACGGGCAGGGTCCTCTGAAACCCAGCTTGAAAAAACGCTGGATGCCAAGAAGTTGCCATGGTGGTCTCAGCCACTGTCAAGCTTCAGCCCTTAGCAGAGTAAAGCAGGCAGGGACGGGGTTGCATGCACCAGTCTAAACCAACAAGGTGCTCGCCCACCTGGGAGCCAGGACAGCCCCAGGACCACAGGAACAGCCATGGCCACCACATCATTCTCTCAGAAAGCAGCCCCCATGCTGACTAACACTTTGAATTCTCACAACAGTCTCCACGCCTAACACTCCCAATGATTAAAATGAAGCCTCTAGTGTCAGCTGCCTGTCACAGACCCACCCAGGACCATCTATCTACTCACTGACCAAATCCACTGGGTTTTCTCACTTTAAAATGCCACTGGGGCTGGACTGGGCTGATGGTTATTTCATCATTTTTCTCCAAGTTCAGAGGGCTCGTGAACACAGACACACTTGGCGCTGTTACCTGCTGCCACACATTAACGCACCACCACCTCATCTGGCCATCATGTCTACACACTGGGATGGCGGCCCTCACTGTCCACAAGGCTTCTGGTCCTCACTGGACTGCGGGGGGCTTGGGGTAAGAACTGTACCTCCCAGCTCTGCACCTGTAGTGCCTGGCACACAGTACCAAAATGTTATCAGGTACTCAAGCACAGTCACGTGGCACGCCAGCACAGGAAAGAGGCCTTAAACACACTCTATAGACAGCCCCACTCTCATGAGTGAATGAGGGGACGAATAATTTCAACCCCAGTGTGGTAACTACCGAACCCAAGCAGCCAGAGGTCAGGGAGGCTCCGCATGACACGAGACTGTGGGCAGCTGCAGCACACTCACGAGATGACCAAGAGAGCAGAGGAGCAGGTGCCAAATCCACAGGTACTGGGGTGAATACTCCTAGCAAGGTACTGGGTGAATATTCCTAGCTACGTGAAAGCAGAAACTCAAGCCTGCTGACAAGGCACACACGGGGGACAAGATGACCAGCCATGACAGATACCTGGCTCCACTGGAGGTGGACGATCCCGGGGACAGGTGCTGCAGTGCCAGGTGAGAGAGGCTGGAGCGGTAGAGGGGTTGGTTCCCCAGGGTAGGAGGCGTCCCACTCCAGGGGTTGGTAGCATTCAGCCTGGGTGCAGACCGAGCCCCAGAAAGTGAGGGCTTGCTGTACGGGGCAAAGGTCTGGTGGGCCCCAAAGACAACAGTGGTCCTGTGGGGTGCCTGAGGGACAGGGTATGCGGGGAGGTTGGTCATGGAATGGCGGTAGCGGCCTGACACGGGGCCAGTTCCGCTGCCACCGAGGCACTGGTGGCAAGAGCAGGCAACCCCCATGTGGCCCAGGGGAGCAATGACAGTGGTCACTGGGTACGAGGGTCCTGTCTGGCGCCGCACGCTACGGCAGAAGCTAGAAGTCTTGTTGGTCTGCGTGTGGGTGGCATAGTTGACAGTATAGTTGTACCCCAGGGGGGCCAAATCCACGAGCTGGTTGCCCTTGGCCACCTGCTGCTCCAGATAGTCACAGATGCTGGCCTCATAGGCTGTCCAGGAGCCATCGTCACTCAGCCACTCCCAGACGATGCCCCGGCCTGCAGCTGAGTGCTGGGGGAACAGGTGCCTCCGTACAGCCCTCATGGTGCCTGTTTAAAAGGAACGTACAGGTGAACATTAACCCAAGCCCCCGAGAGCAAAGGGCCCTCAAACACTCTCTTCTAGAGCCAAAATAAACAAGCATGAACCCTGTGCACACACTTCCCTGCTGTTACTAGATCCAGAGGCTGGCATTCACTACTTTTTCCAAATTTTGGGGTGAAGGATGGACCACTCCCTAAAAGTCAAGAACCATGCCCCAAGGGAGTCAAGTGGCAGAGGGGTATCTGCACTCTTGAGCAGAAGAGGAGTAGGCTAGAAGCTTAAGTCAAAGAACAGTTGTGGCTCAGACTTGTAAGGCTTCTAAAAATCTGATGAAACTTACACATCCTCATTTTAGAAAACTGAAAACAAAACGGTAGACAGAAAATCCAATCGCCCATCGCCCAATCACCCATCATCCAATCAATCAATCCACCCACCATCCAATCACCAAGAAAATAAAAGCACTCAATTTATATTACAATGTATCTCCTCCCATCTCAGCCTCCAGACACGTACATTTAGGCAGCTGAAACCACCATAACGAAAACGTTTCTACTACTTTCACTTATTATGTCATAAGCTTTTATCTGTGTCTTAAAACCTTGTAAAATTCATTAGTTGTTACTTAAACCCAAACTGTCGAGTCCATTCCAACTCCTGGCGACCTTATCTAATGTGGTAAGTCCTTACAGAAGTAGACTGCTACATCCTTCTCCTGTAGATCAACTAATAGGTTCGAACTGCCGACCTTTTGGTTAGCAACCAAGTGCTTAATCACTGTGCCACCAGGCTCTTTAGTTGTTGCCTAATTCTCTCTTATATGGCTAGATCATCCCCCCTTTGATAGGAACACTGGTGGTGTAGTGGTTTTAAGCATTTGGCTGCTAACCAAAAAGTTAGTGGTTCAAACCTACCATCGGCTCCATGGAGGAAAGCTGGGACAGTCTGCTTCCATAAAGATTTCCACTTACGGTCTTGGAAAGCTAATGGGGGCCACTTATGCGTCAGAATCAACTCAATGGCAATGTGTTTGGTTTGGTTTGGACTTCTCAAGTTGCAACTGCTGGGCAACTCCCCACGGTGGGCTGTATTCTTCGGAGCAAACATGCGGGGCAGGAAGAAAGCAGCCAGCCGGGCCCCTCCTCTAGCACTTGCTGAAGATGGATTTCTGCAGTTACCTTCCAGCTTGGTCTCCTCATTTCAGCCCTGGCCTCCTCCCCACCCCCCTTTTTTTTCCACAGGAGCCAGAGGGATACTCTGAAACCCTGAGTCAGATGATGTCACACCTCTGCCCAAAATCTGTCCATGGCTCCCCCTTTCAGAATAAAAGTCCCTTCTCGGGACTGAAAAGTCATGCAGGACCTACCCACACTCATTCTCCCTCCAGGCCTGTCTTCAGTCCCTTCTCAGCACCCCTCCACTCAACTAGCCTCTCCCAATTTTATACCCCCTCGCTCACGCCACTGCTCTTTCCCCTCAGCATCTACTGTTATCCAACACAGTGTACAAGGTCCATGTTCTGAATCCTCTCTGGGGCTTTCTCAGCTGACTGCCAACACTATGAGGCCAGGACTTGGATCTGCATCCGACTAATTAGGAGCTGTGCTTTTCAGAGACTCTAGGATGCTGGTGACAGGGATCAGAAAGGGTTTCTCAACCCTGGCACCAGGGACATCTTGGGCCGCCCCCTTCTTTGTTGTGAGGGGCCGTCCTGCACCGTGTAGCATGTTTAGCAGCACCTTTGCCTCTCCCCACTAGATGCCAGTAGCACCCCACCCACCAAGTCAGGACCATCATCAAAAATGGCTCCAAACATTGTCAGATGTACCCTGGGTAGGAGGGAGGGAGTGAAATCACCCCGGGGGTGACAGCACTGCTGAAAACGCAGGACAGGGCACAGCTCTGGGAGGACATTGGTGGCCCTGCTCTCAGTAACTCAATAAACACATTATAGATTTTTAAAAAAGAAAAAAAAAAAAGGCACGCCATGACTGCACTGAGCAGTGAAGTCCTCCACCCAGGTCATGCAGCTACTGGGCTGGGGAGCCAAGTTCACCAGCAGCCCTCAGGAGTGCCACAGAGCAGCAACTCCACGACAGACTGCGGCGTGCTCCCACCGAGAGGTACGTCCCCCCTGTGTGTTTCCTCCCCAGTATCCACCTTCCCACCCTGCGCTGCTCAGCAGGGGGGAGCTAGGATTTACTTCCATCATCCTGCACCCCCAGCACCTAGCACAGCACCCTGCCCAAAGCATGCGCTCAGATACACACTAAAGGAAGGGTCTTACCAGTGTCCTGGCGGAACTGGGTCCAGCTGGGGAGGTCAATGATGTAAGGGGCCAGCAAGGGATCAGCCTGGCCTAAGGGGATGCTGTGGGCCAAGCTCCCCAACCCGAAGCGCTGGCCCTTCTGCTGGACAAACTGCTGCTCAATGTAGTTGCAGACGGTGGCACTATAGGGGTGCCAGGTGCCCAGCTCGTCCTGCCACTCCCATACGGCCACTGCCACAGGGCTGGTGTACACCTGAGCCAGGGAAGGGCCTGGGGCCATCGCCATCTTTCCGCAGGACCCTCTGCTTTCCCGCAGCTTCAGGCCACTAAGGGCTGGAGTCTCAGGTTCATCGTCCAGCGTCCCCCACGTACCTGTAAACAGCACAGACACGAGGGGCATCATCGTCCTGCCAGAGCCAGTGCTGGGCTCCATCAGCACTAATCTTGCAACCTTTGCCACTGCTCATCCTGCCACCAACCATCTCCACTCTTCCTTTTGGCTCCAAACGCATGGACACAGCACTCCTTCACTGCCCCGCCCCACCAGGGTAGGTCTCAAAGGAGAGGGCACGGTCCTCCAGACTGCCAAGTCTGCCCCAGGCTTCAGCCACCAGCTGCAGGTTTGCAGATCCCCAAGACACCCTGACTTCTGACATGCTGGCTACAAATTCAGAGCTTCCCAGTACTCCTCAGGATGCAGGCATAAGCTCAGGGTCCCCAGAAAGCCCCCTCACTTCCAGCCAGCTGGCTCATACTATTTCCTTGGGTCTGACTATTCTCCACAACCACCCCCAGAACTCAGGAAAGTGCTGTACTTAAGTTTCACTACAGCAAGAATGAGACAGTTGAAGAGATGCAAGGGGTGAGAGGTCTCGGAAGTTCCCAACAGGGAGGTTTCATGTCCCAAAAAGGGGCGCAGCACCCACCCTCCCAGGTACACCAATGTTTATAACCAACCAGGAGGCCCATGGAGCTTCTTTGCCCAGAGTCTGTCTTGGGCCTCAGTACACAGCCACACTGACTGGATTACCCTCTCCCGTGAGGTTGGGTTGGTATCACCCAAGGGGGAATCCAGGCCAGCCCCCCCCCCCAAGAAGCACTCCATTGGCATCGACCCTCAGGTGGGGTCTGGAGGCCTCATCCAATCACTTCAATCACTGGAGAAATTCCAAGGTTTTAGAGGTTCTCTCAGGAACCAAGGGCAAAGACCAGATTCTTGGGGTAAAGTAGATTGCAAACCACACAGTCAGCCTTGCTACAAGAAAGAACAAAAAAACATGGTTTTCCCCAATTATTTTTTCTCCTCACACCTTAAGGACACTGTGACTCACGTTTCTGAACCCGTCTTGGCTCTGGTAGCCAGGAAGAGTGCAGCATCAACCACACCGCCTACCCACCTCTTCCTATGTCTAAAATGTGGTGGAGTTTGGTGCTACTCATTAGCCCAGTTTGTCTCTTTTTCCAATAATTTCCCTTAGCCCCAACCACTTCATATAAGCATTTCTAAGCGTTTTCACGAGTCACCCCAAATCTTCTGTGGGTAAGGCCATGACAATCCCTTAGACCTGTGTAAGGACTCTGCATGGGAAGTCTGGTCCTGAGACACACTATCACTCGCCACGTTACGAGGGGAGTCCCTGGGTGGTACGAACGGTCAATGCAGACTTGGCTGCTGACCACAAGGCTGGTGGTTCAAGTCCACCCAGTCCCCTCAGGAGAAAGGCCTGGTGACCCACTAGGAAAACCGTACGGAGCACAATTCTAGTAACACTCACGGGGTTGCCATAAACGGAAACTGAGTCGACAGCAGTGTATTTGCAGATGAGAAAAATGTCTCTCAGGAAGGTCCAGGGGGCTTAATGATATCCAGGGAGCTCAATGACATTCAGGGGGCTCAATGGCAAAATTGGGACTCAAACCACAGACTCTGACTCTTTCCATGTCCCCAGGCTACCCCTCGAGGTGTCACTAACCATGAAGGAAGCCCTGCGTAAACAGTAAGATCCCCAAGAGGGCTAAGTCCCTGCTCTGGCCACCTAAGGCCTCTCTGCACTCCATGCCCTGTGCCTGGGCTGCGTGACCAGCTGTTCCAGAGAACTCTTTCCCACACCCAGGCCACATTCTGAGACTTTTTTCCAACCCCCGTCCCCGCCTCTTCCCTTGTGAATTCTCCTCAAGCTTCAGCCAAGCCTGTGTCACTCAGGGAGGCCTTCCCTGGTCACCCTGTGTGACCTCACAGCACCCTGCACTGATCAGACGTCATGACCACCGCTGTGTGGGTATGCTGACTGCCCCGTGTCTCTCTGCCCCACCAGAATGGAAGCACTAGGGCAGCAACCCTGGAGTCTGTCTTGTTCAAGCTACATCCCCAGCACCCAGCGAGGACGTGACATGAATAAGTGTTCTACGCACGTGAGCTCAGAATGTGGCTGAAGAGCACGGAGGATGACTCTGCTCAGAGTCTGCAGTGGTGGGAGTGGGAAAAGAGGTTTCATCAAGGTGGCCCCCAAAGAGCACCAGCTCAGAGGGTGAGAAGAACAGGGACCAACATTAGTGACAAAACCAAACGTACTTGTGTCATTCAAGCTAACAGACTGACGAGGCTCGATGAGGTCCAGTGATTATTCAAGGTCACACATAGACCGCCAAGTGGCAGCAAACCCCAATCAATGTGGCTCAAATGCCCATTTTCTTCCAGAGAAAGCCTCAGCCTGAACTCCTCCACTTACAGGCTCCTCTTAAGCTGAGGGGAGGAGGAAGGGAGAACAGAATCTGCATCCCAAGCTCTGAGCGTCCACAAATGTCCCAGCATGAGCCGTGTGGAAGCCGGGTGCTGATCGGGCTCCCATTCACAATCCCTTCTGAACCCCCTAGCTCCCTCATTCTGCAGATGTGGAAACAGACCTAGGCTGCTGGGCTGACTGGCCGGGATCCCACGGCCCCTGATACCACTGGAGTCCAGGCTTCCGCAGCCTCTCCCACTGCAGACACCACCGTGGTTTCAGTGAGAAAGGCAAGAGCACCTGCCCCAGAAGGAAGAGCTGAGACTGTTGTTGTTAGCTGCCGTGAGTCATTCCAACTCACTGGCGAGCCCACGTGTGCAGAGTGGTCCACTCCCCGGGGTCTTCAAAGCTGTGACCGATCAGAAGCAGATCACCAGGCCTGCCCTCCGAGGTGTGTCTGGATGGGTCTGAACCGCCAACCTTTCAGCAGCTGAGCAGGTGATCGCCTGTACCACCCAGGGACTCCTGGAGTAGCACACGAAAACAGATTAGGCATGAGCTCTGGTACCAACGTGTGCCTGCTCGCCACACCATCCCAGTGAAGCTACTCAGCCCTCCAAGCATTCTTCTTCCATTTTAAAAAATGGAGACTGACATCTACCTCAAGTCTTCTGCCCGGGGGTTGGGAGGCAGGCGGATAAAGCACCCAGCATGACACCAGGCACACAGGAGACACTCAACAGACCTTGGTGTCCCCTTCTCTTCCCTTCTCCCTCAAGCCAAGTACACACCCACACCTCACCCCTCCCTCCTCAGTGAGGTAGCCAGGGGTGGTACTGGACTACACACAGCACGAGAACCTAGCAGATCAAGTCAGGCCTGCAGAAAGAGCGAACACATCATGGGTGCCAGGCCTGCCCAGAGCCACTAATTCCTCCAACAGTCTTAGAGGATTAGACCTGGGATGCACTTGGGACGGCTGCCTGGCTTAGCTCGGCAGCCAGCAGCAATGGGAAGTCTCTATAACCATATCCAGGTACAAATCACAGGACTGGTTTCAAGCCAATTACTACTGAGTCCTGACTTGAAACCTTCTGCCAGGTGTCACTCATCTCCCAGGCGGTGGAGCCTCCCAAGTCACCAGCACATGTGGTATATTCCAGCATGTCCCCACATCCCTAGAGAAACCCCGACAGAACACTGCAAAACAAGAACTTCAGCTAAAGCTTCACTTGAAAGCAATCAACCCCCACAGACCAAGGGCTCCCCAAGGCCTCGACCTGTTGAGGTACCAGGGACCCAGAGATGAGGAAGGCATGGCACAGAAGCGCTGTGCCTCTGGCCACTGTCCCCACTCACACCAAGCCCTACACACTTGGTATTTTTTGTCCCAAACCAAAACCCACTGCCCTCAAATCAGTTACAACTCATAACAACGCTAAAAGACAGAATAGAACTACCCCAGAGGGTTTTTAGGCCTGGGAATCTTTATGGAAGCTGATTTCCCACAAAGCAGCTGGTGGGTTCAAACGACCAACCTCTTTTGGTCAGCAGCCAGATGCTTTAACCACTGGGACACGAATTCCTTAAAAAAAAAAAAAAAAAAAACTCTTTGCCATGGAGTCAGATCCAACCCCTGCTTGGGTTTCCGAGGCAGTATCCCTATGGAAGTAGATTGCCCAGTCTTCCTTCGGAGGAGTGGCTGGTGGGTATGAATAGCCAGCCTTCTGGTTAGCAGTCAAATGCCTTAGGTACTACGCCAACAGAGCTCCCTCCCTCAGCCTTAGAGAAATGCAAATCAAAACCCCAACGGGATACCACTTCGCACCCACTTATTGTCAGGTGCAGCTCTGAGTCAGCAACCCCGTGTAGAATAAGGAAGGGAAGCAGCGCTCGGCCCTGCCCATCCTCACAATTACTGCTGGACTTGAGCCCACTGCTGCAGCCTGTGTCAATCCACCTCACTGAGGTCTTCCCCTTTTTCACTGATCCTCTACCTTACTGTCCCACCTACCTTACTGTCCCACCCACTAGGGTGGCTGTTATCAGAAAACAGAAAACAACAAGTGTTGGCAAAGATAGAGAAACTGGAACACACATACACTGCTGGAGGGAATGTAAAATGGTGCAGCTGCTGTGGAACACAGTGCGGGGTCCTCAAAAAGTTAAACCAAGAACTTCCATATGACCCGCTATTCCACTCCTGGTTATACAACCAAAGCTTGACAGTACGGACTCAGATAATTACATCCCAAGGCTCACTGCAGCATTCTTCCCAACAGTCAAAAGGTGGAAACAACTCAAGCGTCCATCAACAGAGGAACAGCTAAACAAAATGTGGTCCATACACGTAATGGAGTATTACTCAACCATAAAGACAAATGAAGTTCTGACACATGCTACGATAGGGATGAACCTTGAAAACATTATGCTGAGTAAAGTCAGTCAGGCACAAAAGGACAAACGCTGTATGACCCTGAAGTATCTAAAATAGGCAAATGTGGACCATACAGACCAAAGCTTGTTAGTGGTTACCAAGGACTGGTGCAGAAGGGTAATGGGAGACCACTGCTTAAGAGCAGCAGGGTTTCTGTTAACGGACAGCCATGACCCTGTACAACAGCGAATGTGATTGATGTTGTTGGGCTG